AACATTTTAACATGAAATCTAGGTGTACATACATGTATGCATACAGTGAGCTAAATTTAGCTAAAAGACATTAATATTGATTATACAAACACAGTTTGTTACTAAATGGTTAATATTCGCTTCATGATGCAGAATTTCTCCTATACGAGTGAAAATCAAGTATTCTTTTGGTATTTTGTAGGTTCTACAAAGTGTCTGCCAAGAATTTTATTCTATAAACTGTTAAAACATAAAATAGTAAAGTCATCATGGATATTGAATTAAAAAAATATTAAAATAAATAAATATATATGGATAATTCTTAGTTCATAGATTTGTTTCTACTCTAATTCTTTGTTGTTAACCATTATCAAGATATCAGATCAAAGGAGTTTTTGATAACATACCAGTGACTTTAAGAATATTGCTTTTTAGCTCATATTTTTGTTGTGTAAACATTGCAATCTTTATTATATTGGCTCTGGCACTCAGGCCTAGACTGTTATCTATCAGGAATTTATCAAGTAACTGCAAAATGCACATTCCCAAAATATTTATTAAAGAATAAAATGAAAACAAATAATACTTCAAAGTATAAAACAATAACCTACTGGCTAGTTTCTGATTGCATTATAACTTGGACTGACTGCTGGGATGGAGTGAAGGTTTCCAAAAATGGCCATAAAGGATAAGGACCAAAGCAAGAATAATGTAATTCTATACATCTAAATCAGACCACAGCCTCTAGTGCAGTATCCCACAATACTTATATTAGCTATGTTAATGATCAATATAAGCAAACATTTTCAAGGAAAATAAACCCCCAACTCATATGAACCACCTTTCAGAATGAGTATGGCCTCACTCCAGGAGAGCATGGCACAAATAAAGGGCCAAGTAAATGTATAAACACAGAATAATTATGTATCATCTTTATATAAAGTAGAAGTTTACAACCTTCATACGTCCAGCTCAAATGTATGACACTAACTACATGCAGAACATTGCACAAAATTTTAGACAAATTATCCAAATATATGCCTAAATAAAAATATATAGTCTATAACAGGGTAAAATATGATGGTATTTCCAGTCATCACGTGGCCAGTCACTGACTGCTCTAAAGATTTGTAATAAATCGTATTTGGTATTCTATGCTTTAATTATTAACAATAACATATGCACACACAACAAATTTATTCTATTAAGTACTTCTGAAGAATGAATAAATGAATAAAAATTGATTTACAAAAATATTTGTTGTATTACACTGTTTGGAGTAAAACATGATAGAATACAGTGGTAAAAAAAAAAGGATACAAATTCTCAGTCAGCATTAAAATGTAGATCAAAAACATGCTTTACTATAACTCTGAGGTAGTTCTCTTGGTTACACAAAACTCAAGACCAGTTTGTTCTCATTACCACATTAATTCATATTTTTTGTCATCTTGTATAAACTTTGTTCATTTTTATAATTATTTATATTTTTGGGCATGTCCCTTGCCCTTTATTAAGAGAACATCTAGGACAATTGCAAACTGATCACAACCATGTATTCATCCACCCTCATGTGGTTACACTTTTTCTTACCACTTTACTGAGCCCTTTTTTTGTACTTTTAAATAATTTCAAACTCAAATTAATGTGATGAGAGAACAAATATTCCTGTATTTATTTTATTCATTTTGAAGTTACTTAAACTGTAAGCACAATCAAATCATAACAAAGATTATAAAGGAAATGCTCTCTCTTAAATGTGCTGTAAATTAACAAATATACATCAAAACAAAAATAGTTCTAATATTATAATAATTGAGAAAACAAACCACTGATCATTTTTCACTTTAAAAAGTGTTCTTAAAACGAAAACAAAGTGGTTAATAGCATTTCAAATACAGCAAAAGTGATAGTGTGTTTAAAATTTCCAAAAATTGCATATTCTCATTATTGATAGTGCAAAAATGTGTTCAAAGTATAAAAATAAAGTATAAATAAAATACTGATGTTAAACAAAAAAGACATGCAAAATACTACATGTACTGAACAGTCATTTATTAAAAACCAATGATACAAAACAAAAAACTTCACCTGCTTTGTAAAATAACCCACTTTTAGATCAGGTGGTAAACTTGGTGTGGATTAATTACATGTGTGTATAGTCTTACAGCACACTAGATGAGCAGGTACTCAAACTGTTGCTGAAGGTTAAGCTACCTTTCTTAAAACAAGTTCAATTTGAAACCACACATATACAACTAAACACTCACCAACGGAATATACAGATGCATATTCTTTAAGAAGTAGTGAATGAGATAGGAAGTCAAGGGACAAAAAAAAAAAAAAAGAGGGAGTATTTGGAAAGGCTGGATATGTAAAGGGAGGGTGGAATAAGTGTATGATTCTACTGACAGAAAAGAGCTAGTGAACACCAAGTACGATCAACATGGATGTTATTTACAACAAGAATTTTCATACTTAAGGATACGTATACCTGTTACACCACGCAAGTACTGCCCTCGTCAAAGTGCCATTAACTGACACTCATAGTCACATGTACAAGGCAGTTTTCTTTAATTTAAATTGTTGGTTGAGTATAAAATGTATACTTAGGTTTATTTTTTAATAAAAAAGCCATGCAAGTGGCAAAATATAGCATGATTACCTTCTTATCATGTAATTAAGATTAAGTCAACTTCCATTTTACACGAACTTTGAACCCCATCAAGTTCATATGATGATCTTATACACTTTACTGGTGTTATAATTTGCATACAGAAAACTTTCAAACGTAAGAAAAATGGCCTGTTTCTTCACAAAAATCTTAAGCATATATTTTTGTTTTGAAAAAATCTATTTAACAGATGTAAAAAAACAAATTCACTATCATGTAAAAAATTCCAATATTTTTATATGGCTTACAAACTTGCAAGAGTCTTACAAAACAAGTGCATAAATAAAAAGCTTAATCTTGTGTTAACAAACAATTATTAATATCCTATACGTATAGTCCTGGCTGATAAGACAAAAACCTTGTACATGTAAAACACCTAGGTGACAGTCAAGTAATCATTATCATTAAATTACATACTATTAAAATATGACAGGTGATTGTAACCATCATCTATAAATAGGCTTACAGTTTGCAACTTCATAACGGCAAGAAACAAGAAAAACATTCCACATAAACACACACTAAGAAGCCACAGCACAACATACATAACAGCAGGAAATTTGAATGCATGAGTGCACAATGATAAGTTAATTTAATCATTGTTGGCATTACAGGTAAGCTTTCAAAATGGGTCATGTCAATTTATGAGCTTTTCTGGAGTCACTGTGTGTTACATGTATTTAGATTCACTACACTTACATCAGATAAGATATATCCTAGAATTTTTTTAAATTACCACACAATTTAAAGGTTTTTTCCCAAGAATTTAGACAGTGTACATAAACTGTAACCACATGGTTTCTCTCTGAAATAATCAACTTATTTAAAGATATATTTAAAAAATATTCCTTCCTTATAAAATCCTAATCTCCATCTGCTAACTTTTCAGAAATTTAGTTAATATATTTATTATTTACAAAAAAATGAGAAAAGAAACATCACTTAGAAAAGTACTTTCATATTTCAAAAACCCTGTGTCTGTATCACTTGAAAAGTTTGTTCTCTCTACAGGTTAGCATTTACCAGGATGCTTAAGGAACCAAATAAAAGAATTTTCAATTTTGACAAATAGCTAAGTTAAAGTTTGTGCCTTAACCACAACATCACAACCAATTAAAGCCATAAACGTTTTCTAAGCTAAGTTAAAGTTTGTGCCTTAACCACAACATCACAACCAATTAAACCCATAAACGTTTTCTAAGCTAAGTTAAAGTTTGTGCCTTAACCACAACATCACAACCAATTAAAGCCATAAACGTTTTCTAAGCTAAGTTAAAGTTTGTGCCTTAACCACAACATCACAACCAATTAAAGCCATAAAAGTTTTCTAAGTGTTTCTCCAATAATGTTAATAAAAAAAATTATTTATTATTAAACCTAAATGGCTTCAAAAAATCTTAACAATTGAGCCTAAATAATGGCTGAAGACGGCTTGAATGGGTAATGAAGAAAAAACTTTAATATAAGTTTAACATAACCGCAAATGTACAACGTTTCGACAAGGTTTTCATATACGAAACTCAATACTTGCATATAAAAGGCATACAATTTCATCCCTACAAAAGTACTTTGTGACAATATATTTTCTTGCACACTTTAACAGTTTGATATTCATTGCACTTACTGACCTGACAATAACAAAAAATTAAGCCTAATTTGACTTTTGCATGAAGAATACTAAAAAATCATTAGAGCTACTTGTGTTGTTTTTACATACTTCAAGACAGTAATTCTCAACCACATTGCTTTAGACAACTATGAATTAACCAAACTGTTGTATATGAATAAAAGTTCTGCCTGGGATGGTGATTGTGACAGTCTCAAATGCCTATAATCTTGTTAACTTCAAGTAGCGGCAGCTCCAATAAAATACAGTCACAATGCTGGTAAATGGTAACAGCTTATATTAGCACAATGAGTCCAATAAGCCCTGGTATTGGTAGAAATGCCTTGTCAACATTGGATATGGCAGATATATCGTAGCTGATAAGCTATTACACTTTTTTCTTTATTTTCACTAAGTTCTTAAAATAAACTATGAATGATGTCATTCCTTTATGTTTTTTTTTTTTCTGTAACTTAAGACTTTATTTCAAATTAACAACCATTTAATGATATATATATATATATATTTATATTACATGCACATACATATTTCTTAAAACCACTGTCATCAGCACAAGCTGGTTAGAAAAATGTTTCAAAGTTAAAAACTTAAAATAACTAACATTTAATTAAAAGTAGTTAATATTTTCATTAATATAGAGATACGAGCAGTTCATTATTCAAATTCAATTTTGAGAATCAATAAACAAGAAAATAAAATTCCTAGTTTTACAGTACTTACAGTTCTTCCCGTTGGCGTTGAGATAACACCATTTTCATAGTTTGGCCTTCACAGAGAAGCTATCCACACAATAAGAATAAATAGAATATCAGTTGTCAACTGCACAATAAATAATAACAACTGTTTTTTTATGCTTGGTTTAACCAAACCCAAACTATATAATAGGATGACAGGTTGTTGTTAAGGGTTCATGGTCACCACCTGTAAAAAAATTAACAAGTAGTAAGTGCTGATAAAACAAAATAATTTCTATCTTTTTAACATAAATGAGCCTATCAGTATGAGATATATATTCATTACAATAAACTGTAACTTTTATTTCAAAAGCACTTTAAAAAGTTAATAGGAATGTTAAAAGTGCTCAAAACAAATATATATCTGATAAAAATACATAATTCAGATGCATGTAAAACTACATATGTTAATAATGAATTTATAGATTATAACATAATTCAATCTTAATTTCAAACCCAATGATTATAATTTATTTCATCACTCAAATTGCCTAACTTTTTAAGCCACAAAAGAAATCTTCTGTAACAATAAACAAATAAAAAAGACAATAAACAAATAAAAAAAAAAGAAATGGGCAGAATGAGATATAAAATTGAATTTAAACTACCTTCCCATATGGCCCAATATTTTCGGGATAACACTAAAATTTTAAACAAGAACACTTATCGGTATTCAGGTTAATACCATGTAGGTTATGAAAGCACTTGCATCTGCAAAATCATTTATGGTTTATGGCTAGTGCCAAAAACTGACCAATAAATTACGGATTTGATAGAAAGTAACATATTGTAGTAACACCTTCTTCGATAAAATCGTATTTAAAACACTTATTTACTGCCGTAAGACACTTGCTGTATGCATTTAGTATTGCCCAATAAGTTAAGAGGTAATGCACAGATATAACAGCAACAACAAAAGTTGTTTTTTCTCTTACAATACCTCACCTCATTCAAGCAAGTATAATGTTAAACTATGTACTGTATACATGCAAGTTAGATGTCATTTGACACTTGTGACAAAATGTTCATGTATATGAATGTACTTGACAAGTGATACAAAGTCATGTGTTATGGGTTAAAAAATTTAACTTTACAAGCAATTTCCCTTGCGTAACTATTTTTTTTTAGGGCTTATTTATCATTTTAGGGCAAATGTTTCATTACCCAGCAAAACATAATATGGGACACACATGATACGGGAAAAAAGATAATGAGCAATATGTTACAACTTAGTAAATTACAAGGCAGATTCAGAGTCATACCAGCTACAATAAAGCAGCTTTTAGTTGTTATGTTGCTATCAAAATGTGTTAATGAACATCAGGATCAAATCTTTCTTCTTTCAAAATGGTGGCTTTGAAAGTTTGAGAGAGAGAGAGAGTTGTTTGGGGAACTTTGTTATAAAAACCAAATTTCTTTTAACTGAAAGAACCATTACAGAAGTAGAGATAATATTGTAAACATAATGAGTTGTTGTTTTTTACTTTGCTTTTCAGGAGTTGTTAAAATGGAACAAAACATTTTCAATATACAAAATTAATTTCCTTTCCACTTTCTTGCCAAATCATAAATATTGCCATCTTGAAATCTACCAACATAATACTTTTTTCTTTTGTTCAAAGGAAATGGTAAAGCTACAAAATGCTCAGATGGTAACTCGTCATTCAAAGTTGGAGCATATGGGGTGCTTTGGTAGCTCTCATAACACTGAAACCACCCAAACATAATTAGAAACAACATTAAACAATTACTTCAAAGCACTGAATTTATAAGATATAGTACACCTAAATTAACTATGTATAGAGCATAACACAACTTATTCAGTATGTTTAATGTAAAATATAAATAAAAATTATTTCATACAGTATAAAAAAATTAAATCAAAACAAACTTATCTTCACCTTTATTCCCTCAAACAGAAAGTTTATTTGTTAAAAAAACTGATTTTTCAACAAAATATTTACAGGTACACCACCAATTTTTCGGCACCCTTGGTTCCAGAACCTTGCCAGATTATCCATTTTGCTGGACCAACAGAGGTCACGTAATAATAACTCAACAATACACCTCTGACCCACTAATTATACCCCTCCCGCATCTCTAAAGCACCATGGACTGCTAGAAACTTAAATAAAACAAATATTAAATGTGAATTAAATGATTAATGAAATATACATTAGTACAGGTATAAATGATACAGGGTTATTAGTACAGTATAAATGAAAAAGTTTTATTAATTACTGAACTTAAAAAGAATGTTGCAGTAGCACCACTTCCAAAGTCGCAAACTTTTGAATTTTACTGAAATTGTAGAGCTAATCACAAAAGTCTGAAAGTTGAGGGCTGTCAGGATTACTGTCTGTTTCATCATGGATTTGTGATGTTGCAGGGGTAACACCCAGGGTACTTGAAGTTGAAGCCACAGAATTATTCGATGTAGGCCTACTGCTTTGACACACATTCTTCTTGGCTATGTTTTTAAACATTTCACCCAAGTGAAGTTGTTTTATGTGCAGGAATTTCATGTGTGCTCTCATAATTTTGTCCAGATCAAAGGAGGTGCCGGAAAATTGGTGGTGTACTGCACTTCAAAAATGATACGCTACCTTTTTTGTTTTGGGTTAAATCTTTGCTAATGATAGTCATTTCCCAGAAATATCAATCATCATCATGATGTAACAATACAAGCCCACATAGGTAAGGGAAATAAAACGACTTATTTACAAGTCTCTATTCCCCACTATTCAAAACTTAATCTCACCGGGACTTTAATTTACATGTAAATTAAAAGCTACAAAAAAAACAACATTTTATTCAAAAATTATTATCAAATTACAACAAAAAGTCAGTTCAAATACATAATAACCAGAGTGCTCAAATTGTAAAGTTATGCTAATAAGGAATATCTAACTTCTAAAATCATTCGAGTTATCAGATTTCTTGAAATGTAATTTATATACTTATATTTTTATCTCTTATGTAAAACTGAGACACCAAGACAAGTTCCTTGTTTGAATTTGACTACTTGAAAGACAGAAAAAGCCTGATTTTTACTGATGTTTTGTATATTTGTTTGATGGGTATGAGAAGTTATCCTCAATACGTTAAACAGTCTTCTGTATTAAACATGCCCATTTTTGTAGTCTATATTGTGTGTATCATAAAGGATCAGACTTTGTGAGGTTATCATTTGAAATTCATATCCATGCTAGCTTAGTATTAACAACGAAGACAATGATTAGGGAAGACAGTTATCAATACAAATGAATACAAAATAGCTAAAGTAGTAAAACATGTGCCATTCATTTTCGATAAGCTAGGAGCCACATCTTACCTTCATACAATGCTCCTTATTTCTGTTATCTTTCTCTATGATGTTAGATAGTGGAAAATCACCTTAAAAACTAAAATAAAATCTTCAAGTCATCATAACTAAGTACAAACTTTCTTGCCCTACAACTGAGTATGTGAATGAGGGTTCCCTAGTAAATGTAATATATCCTGACTTTTTAAAAAGAATATTTAGATAAGGTTGAGGTACCTCAAAAAAAAAGTAAAGAAGTAAAATCAAATCTTACTACATTTCTGAAACTATACTAAAAAAAAGGATCAAGACATGGCTTTCCACCCAAAAAAAGTAACTATTAATCCACAAAGATTCTGTACCATGACTCTCAAATCAGTCAGTATAATTAAATGCCTCAAATTCATTATGTTACTCTTAGAAAGTGAAGTCCAACATTTACAAATTTCTGTCTAATTTCTAAACCCAAGACAAATATTGTACTAGTAGCAACTAAAATTGTTTTCTTCCTTTCAACAGAAGTATCCAACAGTACTGTTAACCCATAGACTTAAAGATACAGTTCTTTCTATTTAGCTTTATAAAATCACCCATATATTACCAAGGTTTTCTTATGCACTATCATATCAAAAACAATTAACAAAAATCCTGAATATCTTGGACCTTTTTCAGTTTGTGTGTATCTGAACTGTACAAACATGAACCACTGTTTCAAAGCATAAAATAAATTAGAATTTACTTGAAATGTAAATGTGCTATTATTACACTGCTACTGTACTTCAACAAATGTAACATACTCTGAACTTAAAAAAGTGACACTTCAAGGAACAGATCAAATTATTCTGGTTAATGCCAGTATACCCTGTATTTGCTCAGTGTATGTATTATAGTATTTTATGATGTTTGAACACAGCTTTTTTTGTTGTTGTTAGTTCAATCATACTTCATATCTGAAGTTATCTTAACCCAATATGCATGTATAGGGGTCAAAATATACATGCCATAATCTTCTACAAAGTGCTATTTAACATGGTATTTATTTGATGTCAGGGGTTAACAATTATTCATTTTACCCTTCATTGCTGATCTAGCAACAGTTTGCGGTAGAGGGGAATAAATACCACGTACAATATACAGGATTACTGAAAAAACTGTAAAAATGTGCTTCGGAGATTCTAGAAGTTATGCAAATACAGTATGCAAACTGCACAATGAACAAAGGTATTTTCATTCTTCACATAAGCATCATCTTGCACTGCGACTTGTCAGAGTCTAAGTCAAACTGACATCAACAACTTGTACACGTATCTTGAGTAAAAATACATTTTTGTAACACAACTGATTTGTATGTTTGACTAAAAGCTAGCCGTTTCATGTAGATACATATAGTAAGTTCAGAATTATAATCAATATTACTTCTCCAATTTGGGGTCAGACAATTGGACCAACCCCATGCAATTTCAGTTAATATATATATATAACTGATTCTAACTTAAATTTTTGGGCATTTCCTATATGTTTTTTATATATGAAGGTCAGAGATGAGGTAACTGAAGTATTCAAGATTATTAATGGAATTGATAAGATTCATACTTATGTTTTCTTTTTTTTTACTGAGTACTAAAGGGAATAGGATAAAACATAAAAATTTCAAAAAAATCAAACACCTCTAGTAGAGGTAGTTTTATTTCTGCAATACGGTGATAAATCTGTAGAATAAACGGACATATAGAATGGTAGAAAATGCAACTTTACAAAAATTTAACTAAATGATTAATGAATATTTGGGAAATCAGGGCCAGATTTAGTGAATAATTTACTGCTTGTTAAGGGAGTCATGACATCCTCAGTGTAAAAAATTAAGGTTATGTGTACGAAGAAAAAATAGACTATCAACAACACTAAAATTAATGACATAGAACTAATCATTTTTTGTCCGACATAAACAGTGGTAAATCATATCAAAACACCATTGATCACATAACATACAAAACAACACTTGCTTCAGGTTTATATTATATAGCAATAATAATTCATAAATGGATTAAACTGTTGTAGTTTCAATAACATAAAAAACAACAATTATGGTAAATAGGAAAAATATATTAAGTGTCTCATGGAAATAACCTTTTGTCAGGCCTACAGTTATGATTGAAATAAAATTTAATTGCAGATGTTTTTGTTATGCTTTTGTCACTTTCCTCTTAATTAACTCATTACACATTTCAAACCACAAATTTTTAAGAACAGAATTTTACATTGTCCCCCTTATGGCACTACCTTACTATCCTTTTCTTAAGTATAAGAGATCAGACCTGCGAAATTTAAAATTTTATCTGAAATGCTATTTATATGTGGCATGAGAAGTTTAACCTTCTAGAAGAAAATACTATAACTAATAACCCAATGAAACTTATCAGGACTACTGATGTTTCTTTATTTGCCTAAATCACATTAATCAAGGGCACCCTAGATTAATGGTATGTACTTTGACCTTCAGAAAACCTTGGTTAAAGACTCAAAACAGATTAGTTAGTAAGGTGAATGCACATGAAATTGTAGGAAACATTATGGAGCACATAGAAAATTGGCTTTATGGTACAAAAAAAAGTGCTGATAATGTAAAAGAGCATTTCTGGAAGAATGTGACAAACAAGATCCCATAAGAGTCTGCTTTAGGACCTATGTTGTTCATTATTCTGGTTACTGATTTGAACAGCTTTTTGAATAATAATGTTTACAAACCTTACAGGACTAAAATACTAAAAATATCTGATTCTGTTGAGAATACTTGTTATTCAAAAGGACTTTGAATCATGAATAGAAACATGTCTAAGCCTTGGAATCTAATTATCAAACTACTTTATACCTTCCTTTCTATAAACTTTGTTTTGAGATACAAAAAATCAACTTATCACATAAAAAAACTACCTTTTTAATAAAAAAAGTAAAACTCATTTATATGCATAACCATATGCATCCTTCAAAGAATCCAAATCACTGAATAAATTACTTCAGTATCTGAAACATCAGATATAACAAATATAACTTTATATTAATGAATCAGTTCTCCCTTGACTCAAATTTATATATTTTTACCATAAGTTAGGTAAAAGAAGGTATCTGACACAATACGTATTTTTAAATATTACATATCAAGAATAAGAAAGACCAGCATAATAACATCTCTCACTTAAATTGGAGCACTTTCTTAATTATTAATAGTAATATCACACACAACATTTCAACTGTCAAAAATTTAACATTGTAACAATCACAATGTTATTTGCAAAGATAATATCACTGTTGGTTTAAACAGGGGCAGTAATAAGAGGGGAGTGGAAGGGTTGAACATCCCTCAAAATCTGCTTTGGCCTCCTCTGTTGGACATACATCCAACAGATCATGCTTATTGTTACAACTGATTCATTTCCTAAATACCACAATACAGTACATACTACCACAAGACGTACAATGCAATGGCCTCAATATTTTTTTTTTCGTCTATCCCACATCAACTGCCATATATTTAGCAATACTCACCAATATGATGTCTGAAACTTACAAAACACTATAATTCAGAATTTGCACGTAAATTTTAGTGTAGGTCATACTTCATAAATGTGTTATCATTTGACATAGATTAAACTTAAACACAACTTAGTTGTAAGCTGCCATTTGTAATTTTAAATTCAGATTTTATGTTTGAAAGATAGAAATAATTATTAATACCTAGTAAGTAGTTTTACTGTTTCTTTTTTAGAAATAATTATTAATATCTGGCAAGTAGTTTTACTTTTTTCTTTTTTTTTTTTTGATTGTGAATTACTAACGCTTTAGTGTTACCATATCTAAACTACAGTATGGGGCAGTATTGTTTACTTCGTCTTAGTTTATGGACAAGACTAAACAAACCTCCCTTGTCTTAATCAAAGTAAGATTAAGTGTTAGACTAGTTAGAAAAGAGATAGTATAATGATATAATATTAATTAGTATACACTCATCAATAATATATTAATAGTAATACAGCGCCATAGAAATTAGATTTTGTTTTTCAGAAAACGCAACGAAGACAAGACGAAGTACTGGTCTGACACTGTGACAAACCAACATATTACACTAGATTAAGTTCAATATTTACTAAACTTAAAAGCTTCCAAAATTTTTCATATTTTAAACAGCTCTAAGAAAATGTAAATATTAATCACGTAAACGAACTTATATAATTTAATTATAAACTTACTATATCCAGTTAAAAACATCCACTGCAGTACTGGATATTCTCGTCGATCGTTTTGTTCTACGAGAAATTACGTTATTAAAGATTGCGCTAGCACCGCGCTTGAAAAGATTTAACCAAAGACATATATTATACAAAGTAATGCTAGGCTAATATATTACAAATAATGATTTAAAAAATTTATAAATAGAAGTCAATAAGTGTAATATTGCTACTGGTATGTAAATTTAATATTTTATTGTATAATACAAATTTATATGTAAGCCCATGTTAAATCCTTTAAATAAAAATTTAATTAAACCTAATTTAACCTTGAATTTTTGTGTTCTTATAAATTTCATAAAATTTGAAATGAACAGAATAGAGCTTATTAGCCCATCAAGGTCCAGCTCCTAACTATAACCAACCCTTACTATTCATGTATTCATCCAATCTTTTCTTGAACTCAGTTAAATTTTCAGTCTCTACCACCCTTGAAGGTAGTTCATTCCAAAAGCCAACCACCCTGTTTGAAAAGTAATACTATCTAAACTGCAGACGACTCCTACGCTGCCAAAATTGGAATTTATGCCCCTTGTCCTATTGTTTTCACTGCTAAATACACAAAAAAGTTTGATGTATCTATATTATCAATACCTTTAATAATTATAAACACTTCAAACAAATCCACCCTGACCCTTCTCCTCTCCACGGAAAACAAGTTTAGAGAGTTTAGTCTCTCCTCATAGGACAATCCCGTCATCTCAGGTGTCATCCTAGTGGCTCTTCTCTGAACATTCTACAACAATTCAATGTCCTTCGTGGAAAAGGGAGCCTAAAACTGTACACAGTACTCTAAATGAGGCTTTACAAGTGATTTATACAATGAAACAATAATATCCCTTGTCTTGTATTCAATATTTCTATAGATGCTATCCAAAATCCTATTAGCCCTATTGCTAGCTACAATACACTGTTTAGATTAATTAAGTTATTTTTTTATCATAACACCAAGATCTTTTTCTTCAACCACAGTATTTAATGTATTCCCATTTAAATTATAACAATAATTTGAATTGTGAAAACCTACATGCCTCACCTTACATTTTGAATAGTTAAACATAATCTGCCACGTATTGGCCCATTGCATTAAATGATCAAAATCTCCCTGTAAGTCTGCAGCATCTTTGATATAGTTAGCCACCCCAAAAATCTTAATGTCATCTACAAACTTCAAAATTTTGTTAGTTATTCCAGAGTCAATATCCATATTAAAAATCACAAACAGCAGAGGACCCAGCACAGAGCCCTGAGGCACACCAATTGTAACTGTGGTCCAGTCAGACCTAACTCCATTTATTACTACTCTCTGGCCAATTTTCTCTCCAATTTCCCCCACAACTACATATTTAATTTTTGTAACAAGTCCTTTGTGAGGCACCTCATCAAATACTTTCTGAAAATCAAGGTAAACCAAATCCATAGTAATTCCTTCTCCAACTGTTACAGTAACATCCTCAAAGAATGTCAGAAGATTTGTTAAATAAGACTTTCCCTCAGTGAAACCATGCTGGTTCTTTGACACTATGTAAAGTTAAATTTAACGATCTCGCTCTAATAAAAAACTTGTGGATATACTTATTGATAAACATTCGTTACAAGTCCATGTGGTATATAAAGTAAGCTGGTTTAAAAACTTGTTAATCTTATCATTGTGCCAATATATGGGTATTTCAATTCATTTATAGATTTGGCGTTTATTATGTCATGAGGGATATCATTTTATTCCTTTATAACTCTTAGTGAAAATGTATTCCACCTAAATGTTGCTGTTTTATACGCATAACTGCATCCAGTTTATAGCGATGAACTTTTGTTGTTGTTGACTCTCCCACTTTAAATAACCTTTCCGTTGCTCTACCCTTGTGGTATGTATGAGGGCATATCATGTGTTTTCTACGCTTTTATTTAATTTCTGTGCTGTAATGATTATAATATGTGGTCCAGAAAGTCGTTAAGATTATCTTGCTCTTATTGCTCCGTTTTTTTGTTATATATAGTAGCTGATGTCTCTTTTGCCCCAAAAAATATTGCACTAACATATAGCATCCAGGTTAAAAGAAGTGGCACTGTAATGTGTAATATCCTTTGTTGGCCGATTGTGACGTTGGCTAAATATAACAGCCAACCAATGCTGTGAGGAAATAAAGGCTACGGGATTACATTGCCGACTGGACTTGTTGAATTCACCTGCTTTTTTTAGCTAGTTTCTAGTAGGAAATCATCATGTGGATACTTCTTTCAAGGAAAAAAGAAAAGAAACAAGAAGAGAGATTACAGCAGTTGTTGGAGGAAAAAGAAAAGAAACAAGAAGAACGAGAAAAGAAACAAGAAGAGAGATTACAGCAGTGGCAAGAAACCTGCAACAGTGGCAGCTCGAACAGTAAAATAAACAAGAGAGATTACAGTAGTTGTTGGAGAAAAAAGAAAAGAAACAAGAAGAGAGATTACAACAGCTGTTTGAGGGAAAAGAAAATAAACAAGAAGAGAGACTACAGCAGTGGTTGGAGGAGAAAGAAAATGAACAAGAAGAGAAACTACAGCAGTGGCAACTGGAACAAGAAATGAAACAAGAAGTACAAATGGAAAAGCTTAGTAAATTTCAAAATGAATTAAATACATTAAAGGGTGATTTACTGTCTTTTACACAAGGAGGATATATTAGCCATGGACCTAATCTGCCTCAGACAATGGAAAGCCCCTTCCAGACCCCACAGCTAAACCCTAATGCAGACATCTTCAGTCCTATCAGAAGTCCCATTCCAGACATGAGTGTCAGCAATAGGGGTGGTCTAGTACGAAGGAAGCCACAGGAATTCGATGGGAAGGCACCGTGGGACGCATATAGAGCACAGTTTGAGCTATTGGCAGAGATGAATGGATGGACAGAGGAG